TTCAGGTCTGCAAACTGAAGCTGAAGTAGTGCTTCACTGGGGGCAATTGCTCAACACACAGGGCTTTGTTGTCACTGAGATTGTACTATCAGGCCTGGATTCACTATATCCATCAAATGCAAGTGTTGGAAACTTAGCCCCAGTCCAACTGTTAAGAGGGGGAATATCTTTTAGGGGAAGGTCAAGCCAGGTGGGATTAAGGCTGGCAGTTCCAGAGAGGGTCCTGGCCCATCCTGCTGTCTCTCACTCTCTTTCCCGCCCTCCCTTGCTCTTCCATTTTCTGACATGCGACAGTTCAACATGAAGGCTCTTGCCAGGTGCAGGTTCCTTGCTATTGTACCCGGCTTCTAGAACTGTAAGAAATCCATCTTTGTTCTCTGCAAGAGAACTCAGTCTCGAATTCTGTCACAGCCCATGACAGTTTAAAGACCCAGAGCTAGAAATTCACTCAGTGGCTAAAATGTGTGCTGTGCAAGTGTGATGCCCTAAGTTCTGATCCCCTGATGCCAAGTAAAGCTGGACACTATGGTGAAATGCGAAGGGGAGGCGGGGATCTCTGGAAGCTCATGGGCCAGCTAGCCTGGTGTATGCCATAGGGAATAACAAGAAGCCTGTCTCAAACAAGGTGAGGACTCACACCTGGAATTGTCCCCTTACCCCCTCCCCCCACTGGTAAAATAAAGGACCAAAACATCCTCCGGGCCAGAGTCTGGAGTAGTCGTCTGGGATCAAATCAGCAGTATTGATGGCACTGTGGGTCTTCTGGGTCCCAGACTATGCATTTCCGGCAAAGCTCTGGGGGCTGCTGGTGCTGATGCTGGCACTGGCGCTGGTGGTCTGTGGACCATACTGGGAACAGAAGGCTTAACAATCTTTTCTAACAACACAGAATTCGTATTGTCCCCATAAGCAGCAGCCTCCATGAAGGGTGACCTACAGGCTCTGCCATCTTGCTGGGCAGTGTCTGCACCACACAAACTCTCTTTAGCAACCAAGCATGAGAAAGGCAGTCTACACAGTCTATGTGTGGCCCGAGGAAGCCCTGGCTCCCTGCTCTTCAAGGGGAGCAGGCAGTACCCATGAGTTGGCAGAAGATGGTGGGCATTGGTATGGGGGCAGCAGGTGCATTAGAGATAGCCACAGCTGCTTAGTGGTTGAATGGTGTCCCTTACTCCCCCTCTTTAAGATGCACCTGGTATGGAAGGTGACTGTACATTAGAAATTTTTTTTCCCAGATATTAAAGTCCTTGAGATGAGGTTTTCCTGATGTGGTCTCCTTCCAAGAGATACACAGAGGGGAAGATGGGGAGAAGGCAAAGTCCTTGGGAAGGCCAGGAAGGGATTGGGACCCAGGCCAAGGTGCACTGAGAGCAAACAGAAACTGAAAGAGACATGAAGGGTCCCATTAGAGAGAGCTTCCAGAGGGAGTGCCACCCTACTATCTGTTTTAGACGCCTGGCTTCTCAGGGTACAGCCCTTTGTCACAGGAAACCAACACCCAGCAGAATCAGAATCCAGCCTTGCTGCTCACTGAGTAACTCTGGCAGACCAAATGGTTGGCAGTCCCAGGTGCCTTCCTCCATAAAGAGGGTGGCAGATCTCTTTCCCAAACTTATGCGACAGGAGTTTGCTAAGTTGCACAAGGCTGCTTTTGTTGTCCACACTGAGAGGCCCAATGACTTCCCTGTGCGTGGTAGCTGAATTTGTCAGTCTGACTGAACTTGGAATCACCGGGAGACTGGTTTCAGCAAACTTTAAGTGAGGAGGGAAGACAGGAGTGAGCATCTACCTTCTCTGTTTCCTGACTGTGGAAGTCATATGACCTCACCTCATGCTCTTTCCGCTACCCCCAGAGAGGCTTTTGTCACTATGCCATCTGTTACATGATGGACTGTACCCTGAAACTATGACCTAAAATTGTTAGGTCTCCAACTGGGGACAAATGGCTGAAGTGCCTATTTGACATATCAAAGCAGACCTGGCCACCAGGTTCTCCCAGCATCCCTCAGTCCCTACCTGATACAGGGTATGGCTGGTATACTCCACCCCCTACCCTAAACTTCTCCAGCCCAGCAGCGGGGCTGCCTTTGCCCCAGATTTCCTATATAATCCAGCCATTTTGTTGCCGGGCCCTTTAGTCTATCCTTTACTCTCCTGGCTTTCTCTCCCCTCCCCTCACACGGCCCAGTTCAGGGTCATGTCCACTCTGGACTCTCCCGGATGTCCCTGTCTCTGCCTATGCTCTCTCTTTTATCTACAATAAAACTTCTCCTCCACCACACCTAGCAGCGGTCATGTCCTTACTTTTCTTTTTTTCATTCAAAAGGAAACCATTTCTTCCTTGAGCTGGTGGGTTTTTTTAAACTTTTTTTTTTTTAATGTGGGTGGGTATTTTGACTATATGTGTGTCTGTGTACCACATATGTGCAGTGCCCCAGGAGGCCAAAGAGGCATTGGATTACCTAGGACTGACAGCATTATAAATGGTTGTGAGTCACCATGTGGGTGCTGGGAATTGAACCCAGAGTGTCTGGAAGAGCAGCCAGTGCTCTTAACCACTGAGTCATCTCGCCAGCTCCAATACTCTATTTTTAAATAAAACACAGTGGGAAGCAGTCCCCTATAACCATAAATTATACAGCTGAGTTTCCCACAGTTGGGGAACTCCCAGGGGTCAGAACACCTGGAAGGCAATGGATGAGCCTCACCCTCTTGTAGAGTCTCTCCTCTAAAATCTAAATGCCATGAAAGCATCCTCAGGTTGTTTTTGCTCAGCTACTTTGTCATAGCAACAAGAAGAGTGCAACAGATACAAGAAACACACACTGATAAGGAGGGCCATCCTTGGACCCCACAATGAGGCTCAGAGGCCTTTGAAAGGCTTTCCAGGACCAGGAGATTCTGAGCTGCAGGACAGAGAATTCTTGAATGCTGTAAGCCAGACGTGATGGGCTATTCTGGAGAGTTTGAAGACCTCATCTACGGAAGGTTCCGACTTGTGAAAATGGAAAATTCATTGGAAAAAAGCCAAAACTAAATGTCAGGAGGCTTTCTCAGCTTGAACTCAAATTCCTAGAAGTGGTTTCCCAGGTTCAAGCACTAGGTATATAGAGGAGACAACAGCTGTTTAGCAGCTGTGTTGGATAGTTTTATGTCGGCTTGACACAAGTTAAAGTCATCTGAGAGGAGGGAACGTCATTTAAAAAATGCCTCCATAACATCCATCTTAATTAGTGAATGATGGGGTGGTGGCATCCTGGGCTGGTGGTCCTGGGTTCTGTAAGAAAGCAGGCTGAGCAAGCAGTACCCTCTATATGCTGCTCCTGTCTCCAGGCTCCTGGCCTGCGTGAGTTCCTGTCCCGACTCCCTTCAAAGATGAGCTGCAATGTGGAAGTGTGAGCCAAATAAACCCTTTCCTCCCCAACTTGCTTTTTGATCATGACGTTTGATCATGGCCATAGAAACCCTAACAGCAGGTATTCACAATGTATGAGTTACGGCTCATGGAAGCTTGCACCCAAATTCCAGAAACTGTGGACTCTAGGTAATGTGTGGTAGTTAGATTCCCTGGAAGGAGGTCCTGATAGAACATTAGATAAAGCTGTGAGGGTTAAGCCTAAAATCTGATAGAGAACCCCAAAAGGGTGGAGAAAACCAAGACCATGGGACATATGCCAAGGAAAGGTACAATACACGGAGTGAAGTGTGCCCAAAAGAGATCTCTGTGCTGCAGGTGGCAGGACTGGGGAGGTGGGGCTGCCAAAGCTTTCTGGAGTTTTTTTTGAGACAGGGTCTCTTTGTGTAGCCCTGGCTGTCCTGGAACTCACTTTGTAGACCAGACTGGCCTTGAACTCAGAGATCCGCCTGCCTCTGCCTCCAGGGTGCTGGGATTAAAGGCATGCCCCACCACCATAACTTAGTTTTTTGTTTTTACACAGACTTATAGTTAAAATCACCTTGAGCATCAGAAAAGACTTTGGGCTTTTGAACACTGTTAGAACTGCTAAGATGAACCAAATTTTTGCTGCATTATGAGAAAGCCACAGGTAATGACGGATAGAAGGTTATCACTAAAAATTATGTGTTAAGGTATCTCACTGAGGGGTGGTATTGGGAGGGTTAATCTTCACTGAATAACCTCTGGGCACATCTGTGAGGGGTTTCCAGACAGGCTTAGCTGAGGAAGAAAGGGTCAACCTGAGTGGGTAGCACATGGGCTGGGGGCTTGGACTGAATGAAAAAGATCACAAACAGGGAACCAGCCTCTCGTCTCCTGACTGTGGGTGGAATGCAAGCAGCTACCCCAGTCTCCTGCTCCCATGCCTTCCCCCTCATGATGAGCTATGACCTCAGATTGTGAGCCAAAACAAACCCCGCCATCCATACATTGCTCTTGTCAGGTGTTTTGTTACCTGGGCAGGTGAGGGCTGAGTGGAAGGAGGCAAGGTTGGAGCAAGTGGTACCCTGCCTGGAGAGTGTGTGCAAAGGGTAAGGTGTGTGTGTGTGTGTGTGTGTGTGTGTGTGTGTGTGTGTAAGGACTCCAAGGTACAGAAAGCACTGGACACCCAGGGAGCTACAAGGAGCCACACCTGGTAGAAGCCACACTTAGGGTTGGGACTTGGCTGTATTGAATGAGGAGTAGGAAAGAGGATGAGCAGCCCACGGGGCCTTCGGGGCCACATTGGATGTGTTGGAAGCTTTTGATGGGTATGAGACAGGGAGATGAAGGTGGCCAGACAGTCCTCTGGAAGCATCATTGAAACGTAAGTGGAGAGAAGGGCACTGGCTGGAGTGACAATGAGGAGACCCCAGCTGTCACCTAGGCAGCCCCAGGATGCTGAGTTGTGGGGAGGGGATATGAGGGTTATGATATAGAAATTAAACAAGCCCTGTCAATATAACACAGTGCTCATCAAAAACAGACACACTGGGGCAGACATGGGTGAGGTGTGGTGACCAGCCCCCCTCACCCACATCACAAAGGCAGCAAATCCACTTACCATCCTTGAGTGAGAAGCTCAGAAGATCCTGTGGGAAAAGGAGACATTTATCAGTGAAGAGCTGACGGCCTACTACCCAGCTTATGTGACAGATAAGCACTGACTCTTATCAGGTGGAGATGGCAAAACCTCTCCACCCTGCGGCACAGTGGCAAGCCAGGTAGCAACTGTGCACACGAGTGCTAAGCAGGCCAACGAGAGGAGGGGCAGGCCCTGTTTTCTCCCTGTGCACATGGCCAACAGCAGCCCGGGCCATTGCTTCTGCCTACTTAAACTGCACTCAGGGAGGGTGAGTGACATACTCAAAGTCACACAGCAAAGCTGCTGCTTCAGAAAAAGTCACCATAACTTGGTAGAATGCAGGTTCTGCAGGCAGGCCACCAAAGTTCGAATCCTGGCTTTGACTACTTATCAGTTGTGTGACCTTGGGCAAGTAACTTAACCTCTCTGTGCCTCAGTCTTCTTAACTATAAAGTAGGGATGGTTATACAGGTTAAACATCCCTAATTTAAAAAGTCCCAATTCCAAAACCATATATTTTTAAGATATTTATTTATTTCTGTGTATGCATGTACACATGTGTGAATTTATGTGCACCAACAGCATGCAGGAACCTGAGAAGGCCAGAAGAGGACATTGCATCCTCTCCTCCCCTCTCCCCCCAACTGGAGTTACTTGGGCAGCAAATGCTGTTATTGACTGAGCCTTCCCTCCAGCATCCAGCTCCCAGTTCCAAAACTTTTCAAGTGAAGAAATTCCATACTGTGAACTGTGGTTCCATTCACAAATGTATTGAAAAAATAACCCTCAGACTGTGTGTATAAGATGCACAGGAAACATACATCGATTTTGTTCATATTCCCAGTGTCCCACCTAAAGATACCTTATTATGTATATGCAAACAGCCTTGGGGCTGCTGGGGACAGAGAATGAGTCATTTCCCTTCCAGCTCAGTCATGTGAGCTGGGGTGGCACATGGTCCAATACTCCAACGTCATATATTATGGTGATGATCACAGCTGATGCTGAATTATCATGGTAGAAACCATCACTATTGATTTAACAGTCAGAGCACTTATAAGGAGATCTTGCCTTTACAGAAGTTAACACACTTAATTCTCAAACAACCTCCTGGGGTGGGGACTCAGTGCCTGTGTCCAAAGTGCTTACAACCAGAAGTGCTTTCAAGACTTCCAGTTGGGGCGGGGGTAGGGGGGAGGCTGGAATATTTTTTTAAGGCTTATTTTATTTTACACATATGGGTGTTTTACATGCCTGTGTGCAGTGCCCTCGGGGCCCAGAAGAGGGAGTTGGAGCCACTGAGGATGGAGTTGTAGATGGCTGAGTCACCACCCAGGGGCCAGCGCACCTGAGTGACTGCTGAAGGGTCTCCTTTCAGGATGGGATCCTTCAGTAAAGTCTGAGCAAAGATGTCGGCTTCTTCGCCTCCCAGGCCACTGGCAAAGGCAGTCATGGTTGGGAGGACAGCTTCAGACAAATGCAGCCATTTCACCAGGCCCGTCACCAGTTCTGTGCAGAAGGGGCTAAAAGAGATATAGTTAGATCCCAGCCCTTTGGAGAGGCCCATGATGGATGGACAGGGTCACATGTCAGCCTGTGGTTAGGGGTCCAGTCACAAGTCCAGCGCAAAGATGGTCCAAACAGAACCAAAGGTGACGAGGCCCCTGTCTTCAGTTCTCACCAAGACATTTTACCAAGAGGTACATGAACCACAGGGATAAAGGCAGTCAGTTGCCACCGCCTATGTGCCTTGAGCCTGAACCTCACAGGGGTATAAGGAAGCAGGGGACAGAAGTCACCCCAGAGTAGTGTGATGCGTGAGGAACAGAGGGAGGGACCAAGTCCTAAGCAGATTCACCTGCAGAGCTGACAGCAGCCTTGAGAAACCAGGAGACATGCCTGGATGTCACTGTGGACTCATGTCTGGAAAGGTGTCCACTGTAAAGGTGGAGTGCTCACTCCAGCAGTGCGGCCCCACAGGGCCTGCTAAGGGGCAGTGGGGCCACTGTGGAGAGTGGGGAGCCCCGAGATCTGAGATAGAAGAGCCCTGTATCTTCTTGGGGACCATGGCAGAGTTCATACCAGAGTTCTGATGCAGTCTGCCCTCTGTGCAGGGCTGAGGTTTTGGTGAGGGAGGGGTGGTGGGGCGTGAAGAACCGAATTCATCCAGAAGTAAAGAAAGGGGAGAAGCTTAGGTCCCTCATTTAAACCCTAAAAGCGGAGTTCCAGCCTGTACACACTGCCATGGGCCTCCAGCCCTGGGCTCTGCTCCTATAGGGAAACCCTGGTGGACTCCTAGAGATATATTCTGAGGTCCCTGGTGGTGAAGGAACCCAAGGAGCCCCCCACCCTTACACCACAGAGCCCACCCATCCCATTCCTTACAGCTGCCGGGGAGCAGAGAGACTGCTAAGGCTGGTGCTAGTGGGGGGTAGGCGGGAACTGGGGTCCAGATCCTGGCTTTGCTGCCACCAGAATCTGGTCTGAAGTAGAGATTATTGTCCACCCCCACTGGGGACGAACACCGATAGAAGGGAAGGAGGGAGCAGAGCTAGGCAGAGGTAGGGCAGCATGTTGTCATCCTGAGAGACACCTCAGCTGACACTGCTATTGACCTGTGGGAAGTTCTGAAGATGGGGTTCCCTCCCAGTGGCTTCAGGGGTTGACTCTATGCCAAGTATCTTGGGGAGTCAGGTGACATCTTGGGAAGGTGGTCCTGTATAGCTGGGGCAGGCCCCAAAGGCTACAGGGAGCTCAGGGCAGTGCTAAGAGCCCCTCCCCCATTCCTATGAGGAGAACAGAGGGCCATAGCAACTTGGGAAGGTAGCTTGTCCTCTGTCTGTGCCTCTGAGTCCTTATCTGTAAAATGGGTTTAAGAGACCAACTTCATAAGGTAGAAGGAAGCAAGCAGAAAACGTCTGAGCAATGCCAGTCAGCATTGTGACAGACAGGTGACTGAGGGAGACAATGGAGAAAAGGGTGAGAGTTGAACCGTGATGTTCAGCCTCCCTGGGAAATCCTCCGAGTCCCCACTTCACCTTTCTTATTTTCTAAGGCTATAAAATGTAGGTGACATTGGGACCCACCCAATGACAGATAAAATGACAGGAGCAGTGTGTGCCATCTGCAGACCTGCAGTAAATGTTATCTCCCGTGATGACCTCGTGATAGATAAATAACTCACTTCCCACTGGGTCTTCCCAGGGATAACCGGTGGGTGTGGACGGTGATGTCTTCAGGCGTGATTAAGTGGGTGAGCATGACGGAGCAGTCAGTGTAGTCCGGGAATGGCGCAGGGCCAAGGGAGTAGTCTAGCCAGCTGTCTGCCAAGACAGGCCTAGACCCAAAGAACTATCTTGTCTCAGAGGACAGGTTAAAGAGCATAGCCACCGGCGCTGCTACCAGGTACTCTAAAATACTTGAGTGTGATAATCGTGAAACCTGGCTCATAGGGTTGTTGGGAAGATCAACAGAGTTAACATCTGTCCTGGGCTCAGAAAGGCGCATGTGAACACCACCTGCTGACACATTTCTGTAACGGTTGCTCTAGTTTCACTTCTGTGATAAAGTGTCCTGACCAAAATAAAACAAAACAAAACAAAACAAAAAAACAAAAAAACCCAAACCAAACCAAACCAAACCAAAACGACAACAACAGTAAAACAGCTTAGGGAAGAAAAGGTTAATTCGGCTCATGATCCCAGGTAACAGTCCATCATTGTGAGGAAGTCAAGACAGGAACTTAAAACATGGGATCTACAGTCATACGCAGGGATGGAACAAGTCCATGGATCCTTGCTCGCTTGCTGCTGTCAGCTAGCTTTCTCCTCTCATACTGTCCAGAACCCCTGCGGAGGGAACGGTGCTGCCCGCAGTGGGCTGGGCTCTTCCTATGGCAATTAACAATGAGACAGTCCTCCACAGACATGGCCTCAAGCCACCATCATCTAGACAGTTCCTCATTAAGATTTTTCCTAGGTAATTCTGGGCTGTGTCAAGTTGACAGTTAAAATTAAACAGCAGCACGATGGTCTAGTGGAAAAGTGTGTGTGTGTGTGTGTGTGTGTGTGCGTGCATGTATGTGTGTGTGCATGTGTGTATGTGCATATGTGTGTGTGTGTGTGTGTATGTGTATGTGTATGTGTGTGTGTGAGCATGTGTGTATGTGCGTGTGTGTGTGTGTGTGCATATATGCGTATGTGCATGTGTGTGTGTGTGTGCATATATGCGTATGTGCATGTGTGTGTGTGTGTGCATATATGTGTGTGTGCATGTGTGTGTGTATGTGCATATGTGTGCGTGTGTGTGTGTGTGTGTGTGTGTGTGTGTGAGAGAGAGAGAGAGAGAGAGAGAGAGTGTGTGTGTGTGTGTGCTCGTGCATGTGTGTGTGTTGCCAGTTCAGTGTAGCCACTGAACACGTTAAGTACTTTGTCAGATGGGCAGGGTATTGGTAATTGCTGTAACTGGCTGGTTGGGTTGAAATACACAAACATAAGGCAAAGATGGGCTGGGGCTTTAGCTCAGTGATAAAGTGCAAGCATAGTGTGTGTAAGGCTTCAGATTCCATCCCCAGCACTGTCACAAGTGAAATAAAACAGCAACAGCAAAGGCAGTGAGGCTCATCACACAACTTAGTTTGCTTGCCCTGTCTTCCATACAGAGACTTGAATTCTTGCCACAGCCCCATGAGGTCAGAAAGGTCTGATGTTAACCTAGTCCCTCCAGATATGGCAACCTAGATCCAGACATGCTAAGCTCTAGGCTCAGACATTCATCGTGCACCACCACTGCCATGCTTACCCACCATGGAGCCGGGCCTCTCTAGCAACTGCATCACCCAGGGTCATCATGTGTTGGTCACTCACTAAGACCATCCTCACAACAGGTAGGGCACCCTGGCTTTTGGGTCCAAGGTCTCTAGGGTCCCAAAAGGGAACACAGGCAGGGCTTCCTTGGAATCCTGGCTTCCTCATTTTTCCTCCAAAGTTCCTCTCCTCATGGACCACAAACAATAGCCTTCAGGAATCTAGTCCCTGGCCTGCTTTTATGAATAAAGTTTTATTGGCACATAGACATGGTCTTGTTATAGTCACTTTGGGGCTACAACCGTGAGGCAGAATAACTAACACAGACCACAGCCTGAGAACAAAAAATACCCAAGCCTAGGCAGAAGGAGCTTGTGCTGAACTTTGTCTACCCAACCAGTTTTGACTTTTTCCTCTTTTTTTTTTTGAGACATTGCCTCAGCATAAAGCCCAGATTGGCCTTGAACTTGTGATTCTCCTGCCTCAGACCACACAGCAGGAGAGAGGTCTGAGCCTGGAGCTGCTGCACCTGGCTCTCTACTGTTTCTTTGGTTCTAGTTTTGTCTTTTTTCTTTCATTTCTCTTTGTTTATGAGGTGTGGGGACTGGGCCTCACATGTGCTAGGCAGGCACTCCCCCGCTGCACTTTATTCCCGCCCTGGCTGGCTCTATGTTTTGAATAAATTGAGTCAATGGTAAGGAGCAGCAGCTGGAACACTCACAGGACAGATAAGAAATAAATATTCCAGACGTTTGCTTTGATGTCCCAGGAGGACAAAAAAATGGCCACTGAATGTTTTCTAAAGATAACAGAACCCCGACAGCCTATCTGGGCTTTAAAAAGACAGACAGTTAAAAAAAAATGTGTTCTGCCTTAAAATTCAGATGGGCAGCGACTTGGAACACAGCATAGAAACAGTGAGGAACTGAGGAGCCCAGGGAGAATTGTGGGGAATGCATGAGCAGACCTCACATCCCTAATGTCCTTTTAGTAGTGTCTAGGACAGGCCTGCAGTCACGGCCATCAGGATGTACCTATGGAGGATCCGTGGTGGTGGAGGTGGTGGTGGTGATGGTGATGATGCTGATGATGGTGATGATGGTGGTGGTGATGGTGATGGTGATGGTGGTGATGGTGATG